AATACACGGAGATCCAGTGAATTTAAAGTAACAGCAAAACTTTACTGGTTGCAAGGTACATCTGCACTCTCTCTCTCTCTCTCACACACACACACACACACACAAACATGTCCTTCCCAACTAGGCTGCCAGGCACTAGCTAGAGGGATGGAAGCCGCCAAGTCTGGATCCAAAGATTCAGCTCAGACGACTCAAGACGACTCAGAGTGGGCGGGCTTTGGGACCCCTTTTATCCCCAAAAGTCCTTGTTTGGTTGATTTACAAGTAATGGGATTGTGGTGAGGATTTCCATGTGCTCAGGCCCAACTTCCTTTTTCTGGTTCAGGTCCTTTGTTTTTTTCCTTAACACTTGCTTCCTTCTTATCTACCTCCCTGAAGGGATCTCATAGACAAGACTCCTGGCTTTTGTCCTCTCTGCTTACATCCCTGCTTCATCTTTAGTTATGGCAGCTTCAGCCTAGTCTCACACAGCGAACAATTAGATCTCCAGATGGCTTCCATTAGCTATAACCAGCATGATCAGTTGTGATAGGGTGATGCTGTATAACTCCCAGTAAATTCACCCAGCATGGCCAGTAGCAAGGGATAATGGGAGTTGTAGTTCTAGGCATCCAGCAGAAGCCACAATGAGGGCACACTTGTCAGGGCCTCATTGCACAAGTGGCATAAATGCTGTCAGTTCCATCATGTGGTTTCACTTTTGCCTCCATGGAAGCTCATGTTTCTACTTTGGAAGAAACCAGTTGCTCACATCTCACTTACCACAACTGACTATCCTAGGCAGGGACAATCTTGGCTCTCTAAGAAGCATCCATAATTTTCTCTTGAACAATTTGCTTTTTTCTTGTAGATTTCAGCTGCAAAAAATGTCGTTCTGTAGACTGCCCATGTTTCTCTGATTTGATTCAAGCGATATACTGCTCCCACCACCAAATGAAAGGTTTTCCTTATTTAAATCCCTTCCCTTCCCTTTCCCCAGGAATTCCAAAACTCCATTTAAGGGTAATATAGTGCCTTATTAAGAGTTATTGTTTGGGGAAGTAAAAGGGACCTATATCAGGTGTTTGGGTGACTGTGTCAGGACCATATAGAAATATGTTTGCAATAGCCCATTGATTTCAATTGATGGATGGCTAGATAGATAGGTATGTGGGGGTGGATAGGATGAAACCAATGCAATCTGATTTTCCAGCTTCTGAATAACTTGTTCCTGCAGTAAGTTTTAGAAGCTTTAAAGCAGCACGCTTTTTTTCCCCATGCAAGTACCAACAAAATAAAGATGTCACAGCAGGGATTTTGATCTGTGACTTCAACTGACTCTGTCTCTTGATCAGTTATAGGAGTAGAGGTAGGGAAACTACTACAGAATACTTTAAAATAGAAACATTCATCATGGTAAAAAAAAGAGGATAAACTGGGGATTATTAATGACATGTTTAGATGCAAAAATAGACCAAAAATGATGAGTGGTGAATTTTAGCCCATAATTAGGGGAAAGTATTTAATCCAAGTGGACAAATTCCGTTGGGGGTTCTGGGGGTTTTCTTAAATGCTGTTGCATTGGAAGCTGGAAGCTGTGTGGGTTTGGATGGGGAGGAACTGTCTCAGACTCAATCCTACCAAGACTGAGTGGCTGTGGATATTTGGACCACCCAGATCTGGGAAAACTCCATCTTTGACCTTGATGGAGAGCACTTCCCTCTTCAAGATTGGTGTGCAATCTGGGGCTCTTCTTGGACTCATTGCTCCTTGAAGAGTAGGTGGCAGCAGTGGCCAAGAAAGCCTTTGCACAGCTTCATCTGGTGTGCCCCTAGTGCCTTTTTCTAGATCAGTGGGCCCTTCAGACAGTCACTCATCCCCTAGTCACTTTGTGGCTTGACTACTACAACATGTTCTGTGTGGGGCTGCCCTTGAAAATCACCCAGAAGCTTCAACTGGTTCAGAATGCAGGGGCACGAGTATTGATGCACATGACTTTCTATGCCCATGTAATACCTCTGCTTTGTGAACTGCACTGGTTACCAGTTTGCTTCTGGGTGTGATTCAAGATGCTTGTTGTTTCCTAATAAGCCCTGCATGGCCTAGGGCCTGGTTACTTCAGGGACTGCCTGCCCCCCACAGTATCTGCCCAACCATTTCCATCTTGCAGGGTTGGTGTGCTCTGGGTTCCTTTGATTAAACAATGTCATCTATTGGGACCCTAGAACCATGTCTTCTCTGTAACAGTGTCTGCCCTCTGGAGTGAGGTTTCCCCCCACAAGATCTGGATTGTTCCCCATTCCACTCTGGTTCAGAAGAGTGGTAAAGACCTGGCTCTTCACCCAGGCCTTTGGCAAGGGAGAGTGAGACCCCTCGCTTCATTTCATCTGGTCTGCCATGCTTGCCATCTTTTATCTTGTATTGATTTTATTGTAATTTCTTTGCTTGATTGTTGTGAGCTGTTCAGAGTTGTTGGGAGTCAAACAGCATACACGATGATGATGATGATATTTTTAAAAGGCTAAAATTGACCCCAGTTCCAATAAAGAAACCCACTCCTTCAGCCTGAGACCTCGAGACTCTCAAAAGCTGATCAGCAAGCCTTGGGAAAGATTTGAGATTGGGCTCTTGCGAAGATCAGCCTATGAGCTCTCCAAGGTCCTGAATCAGAGAGAACAAGTCCCTGCTTGCTAAGTGGCCTCAGGCCAGTGACTCCTTCAGTTCAACCTACCTTCCAGGGTTGTTGTTGAGTGCCATTTGGGCCCCCCTTTTGGGCAGACATCGTTCCAGCCTCTTGCCACACTCCAAAAGCTGGAGAATCTGTTGCAGCTCCTGACCCCTCAAATTACCACCCACTCCTAACCCAACTCATAGAGTTGAACAAAACATTCATACTGGTTGCCCCTGCTGCTGCTTCTGCTGCTTCTCTGCCTGTTAATCCCTGCTTAACACTATCATACATTGGTCTGGAGCCCACCATCCACCCACTACTCATTGCAGTGAAATGCAATGAAGGGAGGAGGAAAGTTTAACTCAAGCTAAAAAGGAAACAAAAGAACACATCCTCTCCAGCAGCCAACTCCCATATAAGCAGGGATTAACACCAGACATACAATCAGGAAGAAAACAATACTCTAATCACGGAATGACCAAGGAGAAAACCACACCCCCACCAACCCTAGCAGGGCAAGCTATTGTATATAAATAAGGAGCAAAGCCCACACTCACCAGCACTGACGACATTACCTAAGTGGGTAATGAAACATCTGTAGGCAAGCAATCAAGCTCAGGGAGCACCAAGAACTCCACAGTTGAACCCTAAGCTATGTATATTTTCTTCTATTGATTACTAGTAGCAGATGAAAAAAAAAAGTAGGAAATCAGTTAAGCGAAAAGCCATGCAGTTGAGTAATTCAGTTACAGTCCATCGATCTGATGACCAAACTCACCTTCCCTGTGTTCAGTTGGGGTCATGTTACAATCCAAAGGCTCAGAGTAGGAGCGAGTGTGAGCTCGTTGTTTTGTGTTATGTCACTTCTGGATTTGATTAAGATGTGATTCAAATAGATCAGTGTTTCTCAAACTTGGCAACTTTAAGATGCGTGGGCTTCATTTCTCAGAATTCCCCAGCCAGCATGCTGGCTGGGGGAATTCTGGGAGATGAAGCCCACGCATCTTAAAGTTGTCACGTTTGAGAAACACTGAACTAGATGGTTCTCCTGCCGGTGGCACAGTTGTGAGTTTGGTGGTGCGAGATTTCTTTGCCGTTTCCACCTGCAGTTCTTTTACAACACGCTTGCACGGTCCCCCCCCCCCCCGCATAGAAAATCAGAAAGTCTTCTCCCTAAGGAACACGTGCAGGGCGTCTGAACGCAGTCTTTACTTACTTGACTTTGTTAATTAGAGTATGGATGGCCAGCAAGAAGGGACAGGCACGTGACCCAGGCTGAGCGGCTATGTTGCACCTTCTCACCTCGTTAGGTTTAAAGCAAGAGAGGCGAGGTGGCTAGAGAGGCCAAGAGGAAGGAAAGAGGGGAAAACAGCCGCTTCCTGTCCTGTCCTGCCTTGCCCCGCCTTCCTTCTTTCCTCCCCTGGGCAGAGGGGTCTTTGTCTCGGAAAGCTTG